TCAACAGACATTATTGCTGTCACTAATCTCCTGGTCTTTGGGGGAACATCCTAAATAAATTCTCATGCAACTTGACTGTTGAGTACTTGGCTGCTCTGAAGAAGAAATGCTTATGTGCAGATGTACTTAGTCCCCTGTCACTCCAGGAGGAGCTAATGCATGAAACTAACAGCTTGAGCCTGAAAAATGTACTGGGGAACTAGATGATATCACAACTGGCTTCATATAACCAAACCAGCTCAAATCAGAGCTACCCCACTGAGGAGTGGCGAGTTAGCAAGCAATCCGGTATACGCCTCTGCACTGCCACAAGTGAGCAGTCCACGCTGCTGAGACAGAACAAATGTTCTTGAAGACATCGCTAGTAACAACCTTCACTGGCAAATTGCTTTACATTGGTTTCCGGACAGCGAATCCCCTCTGCTTGCTGACCTTCGCTACCTGATCCGGTACCTGGTTCTGTGGCCCTTCCCGCTGCAGAGGGCATGGCAGCTGCATGAACACAGACGATACCCACGGGCACTTTGACTGAAACTGCCGTATCTGCGTTTTCACAGCATCATAAAACTTGATTTCATAAGCAGTTTCTTACTGGGGGCAGAGATATTTTACACCAGGTTTGAAGGTCATGAGGATCACAGGCACTCGACAACTGGGTGGTTATTGACGGTTTTGTGCAACCTTTTCAGATAGTGACTTAAATACACACACACACACACACACATACAAACTTTTAAGTCAATTAGGAAAAACTGTGTCCCTTTCTTTTGCTGTAAAGACCTGTCCAACAAATTCCAATGGAATTTAGTTTTTCCACTGTTTACCAGTCGTTATTCATTAGCTGTATGTATGCTTATAAACGATTACACGCTTTTACCTTTTCAATTTTCAGATTCAGTGATGGAGCGGTCTTCAGAAACCTTTCCTTCACTTGCTTGTAGTCTTTTGCATCTGGTTTCAATTCCGCTGTTTTGAGCTGCTGATTTTGCATGTCGTCCCATTTTTCGGGCAGTGCTGTTGATTCCTGATCTGCGGAAGAAGCACATCAATCATTTACCCAAATCCGCTGCTTAACGTGAAATATGCCCTCCTCCTTTGAAAGCTTATACTTACTATAGCTTATCATTATTGCCTGTTCACTTACAGTCAGCCAAGAGCCTATCTTTTAAAAACAAAGAAACAAAACCCAGAAGAGTAAGATGCTTTATTTGACAGATCGTCGTTGCACTGACCACTGATGTGTTGGAATGGCAGCTCCTAGACAAATCTGTTCTCCTTCGCCGTTGGAGGAGGAAAAACATCTTTGTTTGCCTTCTGCCCACACTGGGGAGGGAACAGGCACTTAATTCTCAGCAACTAGGAGCAGAGCATCTGAAAAAGGAGGATGGAGTTTGGAGCTCCAGTAACGCACGCTTCACCTGAAAAGCAGAGGTCTTCCTTCCTTCCTTCCTCCGATTTCGTACTGAGCTCTGTTCTTGAACACTAACAGCGGCTGACGTGTTCCCTAAGCACACCTAGCACGTCAGGCTCCGTCAAATCAAGAGGGTGTCCTCTTCTCAAAAGCAACAACTTGTCCAGTAATAAAGCAAACATAAACATCTGACGGAATATGTGAGGCACTGAGAGGCGCACAACTACTTAAACATGACGACTTCTGTTTCCAAGAGTTAAATGGAATATAAATTGATCCCGCTAAGATATAAAATGAGCCCCTGTACAACGGAATGACAGCAGGGTGAAGAAAAGAAACCCACCGGGAAGAGTCCTGTAAGGGCAGGAGAAAGATAGCTCTTTGTAATGGAAATCGCTGAGATAAAGAGAAGAGGGCCCGTCTGGAGAATAGAAACGATTTAGAAGGACAACTGCTACAAGCACGTCTAATCATTGCTAGCAAGCCTGCTAAGAACCTCTAAACGCGTTATCTACGTTTCCAACAGTTTTACTTAACTGCACGATCCTGTTATTGTCATCTCCCAGTCTAACGCTTTCTCCAGAAATGGACAAACAGCATCTCACAATATTCTACATATTCTTCCTATTACTCTGACTCAGCCGGATGCAACCTACCTTCGTGTGTGAATACCAACCCGACTCATCGAGATGCTTTTACTAACCTGCAGATTTATCAGTACGTGTAAGCACCATACGTTGTCCATCCCCATCTGTAGCGCATCCACCTTCTATATTCGCCAGGTACTTTGTCTTGTGAATGACGACTGAGACAGCTTTCTGCTTTCTTATAAAAGCACTTTCCACGCACGTATTTGTCATACTGTCAGAGGACACGTAGGAATCTTCTTTGAATCTTCTTTACCAGGATTTTCTCTTTTTTTCAAGCTTGTATGGAACACAGTCAGCAGATACGACTGAAAAATGACAGATTTAATAGTTTTCACAGATGGAGTAGAGTTCCTCCTTGCAGTCAGTTTCTGCATCCATCATCTCATCAGCGACTATGTCCGGAAAACAGCCTGCCTGACCTGGAACCAGTTACAGATAGTTAGCCTTGAAAAGGATTGTAACATCTTTAACAGAATAGTTACAATCGTTCCCGTAATCACATGGGTCACAAACGACTCAACTAACTTCAGGTTGGCAATTTCGAAATGGAAGCTTACTTTCGCTGACGCAGCAACCGATGAGGCAATGGTGTGGATGATACGGCCGGGGTACCTACCCGACCAGCCAGAGAACCGGCTCTCAGTAGGCCGCTAGGGAACGCTTTACTCCTAAAACTGCTCTAGTTTTATTCACGCAAGAGGCCTCTTCATGTTCAAACCCAAAATCTGAATTCTCTTACTTACATAAGGAACATATAAAGAATTTTGCTGGCCTGATGAAAAAACACGGAGGCAAAAATGGCTGATCTGACAGTTTTGACCTGTTCACATTCCATCCCTGTTCACGTTCCATACCTGCTCGCGTGTCTGCTAGACAGAACTCCATCATCTACTGATTTTAACAACAGAGAATTAGCTCCCTGGGTTTAACCAATGAGCTGCTTTACACATCATGCTGTGGTAACAAATATTTAAGGTTCTCCATAAACGTATGCATATATTATAAATAAATTGGAACCCCTGTTATCGAAAAAGAGTCAGCTTTAGAGCACTCGTACTCATCACCTGCTACCTACATCAAAGATGAAGTTTCCAGTCTCTTCATAAGTTTCCAGTGATGGTTTTGAAGTCTGCAGTTGCTGAATATATTTTCATTAAAGAACTACCCTTCCAGACAAGCTAATTGTTTCAGCTCTGAGATCTGCAGAATTGCACGTTCCGAACCAGTTCAAAAAGAAGAGACAAACCTGCTCCAACTGCTGGGATGGTAACAGAGGCGTACTGCTGTAATTCACATTCCTGAAGCACTTTGGAGACTGGCACTTTCATATCATCTTGGGCGACAAAATGGATTATTTTTGGCATGGCAAGCTTCCTGCTTTGGTGGTTATATAGCCAGCATTAGGCTGCAAGGCTGAAACGTAAGCAGGAGTGAATGAACAATCGACAATTATATACGACATATATATGTAGTAATCGCCATTGGGAGATAAGAAACGATGACGAGTACAGCCCAGGATAAGCTCCAAGTCTCTTTCCCCATGCTGATAAATACCTCCCTCTCTTTATTTTTACTGTCTGGGATTCATTTTATGATCGTGAGCTGTTTGCCTTGTTTGCCAAATACAGTTTTGTGTGCCTTCCTTTTCGAAGTTTGCTCCGCAGATGTAGAACACTTTATGCAGACCAAGCACTGCAGTCAGTCTTAACACGAGTCTGCCTGTCTCCTCCATGTAATTCTTCCGTTTCGTTGGTCTTGTGAGCTGAGCTCCACACCAGAGACTTTCTCCCTTCTGTTATCAAAATAAGGGAAGCCTGCAAACAGGCTTTTAAGCCAAACGCTTCTCCACCCTTACTCCCCATTCAATGTATTCACTAGCTCAATTTGGTCTGCAAATGCCTCTTTTAAGGCAGGAACCCAGATGCAAAGATTTTCCTTCTTAGTCATGCAGAGGGTACAGCAGTGGGTTGCTACTGAAGACAACGGCAAACATTTTTTCACTTGGGGATAAGAAAAGAAGTTGCAGGCAGGGAGTTACTCCCAATGAAACATAGCTTCTCTATTAAGGGTTCTGCTAACATCACCCCAACTCACACCTGTGTTCTCCGTGGACTTGTCTATATCCCTCAAAAGCTGTACTGGAATTAGAGGATGCAATCATAGGTAGATCCTGCCCTTTACAAAGGCTTAGATGCTCTTTTGTCTTGAAAACGCCTCTTCCTTTCCTTGTTAGATGTTTTACATACATCGCAATAACCGAATTAAGACTACTTGATGTAACACAGCGCATAGGACAGATAGGTGTACAGTAGGCACTGAGAAAGAACTCCAAACAACTCCCTGTCCTGCATGCAAGCCTTCAAAAAGGACAGAAAAGTAGCACCATACCTAGTTCAGCACACTCGTTTTCAACCTCTTTCCCAGCACCTTTAGAGACGCCTTAAAAGACAAGAAGCATATGACTCCACGGTTACTACTGTTAATTCCCTTGAAGTCCTGCCTAAGGCAGAATCAGATACTCCATACTCTCTCACATTTTTTGTAAAAGCATAGGTTATAATTAGTTAGTATTGTTTAAATTTTAGGCTTACGCTTTTCAAGTCCAAAACAATATATTGAGAAACCTAAAAAGTTTAACTGAGGTAAAAAACACAATAATCTCCCTTAATCTAAGAGATGTTCTCTGAAGAGATTCTATTGAAAAATTCAAGTTATTAATTTCACTTTTCTGCAAGTCTTAAAACACATTATCCGGTAGATCAGAATAAAAGAAAGCTTCCCCCTCGCCTCACCTACTCCTCCCAACCACGTACACTATTTCCACACGTAATACCAACTGAAGTACCTGTTTGAAGGTTGACGGTTTTGTTTGATATGTTTACAATGACATCTCCAGTTTCCTTGGTAATATCAGGAGTGGCCACCTGGAACTTCATGGAGCCGATTGTCATCTCATATACATCCTGTGATGGGCTTGAAATGCAACCAAAGAAAACTGTAGGACAGAAATACAGACACTGAGCAGAGGAGCATTCGTGGGTACAAAGCCTGCTGAGACCGCAGTTCGTCCCTGGGCTCTACCTGTGAGAACGCTGCCCGCATCAGTAACTGAAAATCATTCCTTCTCATGGGGGTCTCAGACCAACCTTCGCTTGCTCCCATCATTGCTATTTATGCTGACATATTGGGAAAAAACAAACACGTTTTACCACACTCCTGCTATAGAGATGTTTCTTGGCAACGCTTATCTGTATTAGTCTTCATGAAGCACAGAGGTACGACAGCAGCACACTTTGCAAATCTCACTCCTTTGCTCCTGTCTCGAAGGGAGTTTTGGGGCAAGTTCTCAACTGCATGACAGCAACTTTTTTGTCTACGTATTATTTCTAAAAACTTGATCGAGTTTTCAACAAATACTCATTTTCCACACTCTCCAGTCCCACTAAACTGGACAGCACTGGCGACATTTCAGGGTGCTTTTGCTGTTGATCTGAACGTAGCTTTGAGAGCATCGCAAAGAGGCCCTGTTAAGACACATAAAGGAGAACGGACCGGTTCTTCCTGGGAGATAAGGGAAGACTGCATCAGGAAAAGAAAAGAACCTCGCTTCTGCCTTCTGCTTCCTTACCGTGTGGATGCTACATCCAGATAATGAATGATAAGAATGTTTTTTCCTTGGTATCTCCAGCACTGTTTCAGATGTTATGCTCATACATACTGCATACCGCCTTTACAACATCCACTTGGACTTTGGGAACAGCATGTTCATCACATATCTAAGTATCTATCATGAATATGCTACCTGGAAAATTTAAAAGCTAGTAATACTACTAATACCAATAATAATAGAAAACCCTACACCACCATGAACGTAGCCTCTAGAAAATAAACTTACCCGTGCCTTCGCTAGCCTCATCTACATCACTGCCGCACCGTCTCTCACATTCATTTGAAAACGCCTAGAAAAGGAAACTACAGTCAACCCTCATAATAAGTTCAGTGAAAGCATAGAAAGCCATTCTAAAGTGACACTGAAAAAAAGCGGGATGCAGAACACCGATCTGTTTTCCACTGGAGAGTTTTACCAGCATGCAATCCTAACGTAATTATTCTTCATAGACTTCATCTAAACCTATGGAGAGTATTCCTTTTCCAAGAGTGAAGACATCTATGCAGAAGTTGCAGCAAGTCCATCTGCAGATGAGCCTTACGTATGGAAAAATCAAAAGAGTAATTACGCTTTCATCTGCATTATTGCCAGGGAATAGAAAAGGACAGGAAACAAGCGGTGCTGCACAGGACAAGCTACGTTCAAAAGAGTCTGTCAGCAAACGGCTCTACGCTTTATACGATAACAAGCAGCCTGCAGATTCTCTGGAGAACAACACATAGCCACATACCACGAGATAGACCCAAACAGAATAGCAGGTAATTGAGAGAGAAAAGCACCGTGACTCACCTGGAGATTTTTACATCTTTTGGATGCAACAGAAAATGAACCTCCAGAAGAGAATTGGTTTTCTTTTTACTACTGAATTCGTACACCTTGCCAAACAGCAATTTAGCAACAACGGGACTTGGGAACCCTAAGATCCCTGTTCCAAACCCTGGGAAAGCAGTGGACTTTAAAGATAGTTCCTCAGCAGTCTGCAGGCATTTTGTGACGAGCCTGCCCACGATCTGTAAAGCACAACTATTTTTTCCACTACTGAAAGTTACTTTTTCCAGAAGGTGCAATTCAGCTAAAAGGTAAAGTACTATCTCTTAGCATCATCTCACACGCATCAGAAAGAACACAACAGTCAACAAGGTGCGAGCAACACAGCTAAAAAAATAGCCCAAACTCGCTCATCTCCTGTGATAGCCTCCCTCATTTCAAAGAAGTTGCATCAAATCTTCCGTAAAGCCCATTCAAATTAAGAGTTTAAGTAAATAAAAACTCCTATACCTTCACTGCAGATTCACTTCCCTCTGACCATCGAGGTGTGACAGCATGAAACACGTAACTGCAACTCAGACTGTAACCTCTTGTTGTGAACACAGATCCTTCACCAGGTGATTTTTCCAGGCCTTCATCATTTAAATCTGCCTGAAGCCTTGGCCTTGTCTTTCTTAGCAAAGCTTTGACGAGTTGTCCTTTCTCAAGCTGTAGATCTCCACCAACACCGATGACAACACCATCTGTCTGAAAAACACGCAAGCAACTCCAGTTTTAAGTAAAGTCTTCAAAGGTTTGCATCGATTCATCAAATAGAGCCTACCTGCTGATTTGCAAGTAAAGTTCTAGGGCAGCAATTGGAGTTAACAAGGCTTTGGAATAAAATAGAGAAATCATGCTTAGTTCTAGTGCCATGAGCCTGCTTGAAGCAGTATAGAAGCTGAGTTAACAGTAGAATAAATGTCAATCTGAAAGAGAAAAAGTTAAAATTCTGCATTCCCCATTCCCCAGGTCAGTACTGTACAGGCACAGCATGAGTTGGACAGTAGTGGCCAAGGACTCAGCAGTCTTTATGGATGCCTGGGATTCCTCTGGCCCAGGTGCAAAACCTTGCACTGTGCTGTGTTGAACCTCATTAGGTTCACCCGGCCCCACCCTTCGAGTCTGCTGAGGTCCCTCTGAATGGCATCCCTTCCTTCCACTGTGTCCACTGCGCTGCTCAGCTTGGTGTCAGCAGCAGACTTGCTGAGGGTGCACTTAATTCCATTATGGGTGTCATTGATGAAAATGTTAAAGAGCACTGGTCCCAAGAAAGCCTTCTGCTGGGCACTGCTTATTACTGGCCTCTGCCTGGACATAGAACCATTGATCACCACTATTTGTCTGTGGCCTTTCACCTCCTCTGCTGAAAGGCGTGAGGTCCAAATGACTCAGCGTTAGTGTGAGCCTGGACGACACTTTCAGAGACAATTAAGCTACAGGGAGGGATTGGACACCCCTTCCCTTATTTTGACTCATGTCTCAAGCACTCCTGGGAAGGTCCAGGATAATGCCTGAGAAAGGGTCAGGTCATGAAATGGGACACGGCCTCACTTTCTTTGGTTTGCCTGTTGTTTGGTGTCACAACCAATCCTGGATCAATAAGGGTTCCATTAAGTAATCCTGTATCACATGGGAAAGTGCAAAACTCATCAAAATAGCCAATCTCAAGCCTTGATCGTTTCAACAAGCACCTCACCTCCCAACAGTCAGTTTGTGAACAATGTGCTGGTGCATGTGCAATTGTAGAAACAGTAAACTCCTCTGAGGTAAGCAGAAATTTTCCTTCCGGTTGCCTCCATCCTGCAGGCTCTTCTATAATAAACAACAAGCTTTTCAGGAGGTACCACAAACCTGCTTTTATCTGGTGATCAACTTTGTTTGTTCTCTAAAATGCAAATGCAATGAAGATGGTATGACGGACTCATGGACTGTGTTTGCCCATAACAACACTTTTCAACAAGCACTGGGTAAGGAGGATAAGCATTATCTATGAGCTGGATTACAAGTCTTACAACAAAATCGTGCTCTTCATCATTAAGAGAAATCACTACAAGTTAACTTAGTACAACATTGGTCAAAAGTAGCTACGCATATAAAATGTTTATTACATATAGTGAAATAAAACAACAGAATTAAGCTATAAATTTAGAGTAATACATATGAAGTTTCTCAGCTATCAAGGATTCCCACATGCTGGCATTTGTAGAATTCCAACACGCTCAAAGCCAGATGACCAACTTTGCACAAATTCATTTGAGAACTGGAGTTCCAAGCGGAAAAGCAAGGAACAATTGTAAAACAGTAATGGGGGGAGGGGAGGGGGAAGCAGAACTGAAGAAAGGTGAGGGTCCTTGAAAACTAGCTGTAAGAATAGCTGTAGCAACACTGTTTCCCAGAGACATAGCAAACTGAGCTGGATGCTTAACAGTGAAAAGCAATAGCAGCATTTCCCAGTTGTAGCTTCTTTCATAAGAGCTATTTGACATTCATGATGTTTATTACTGTCTCACTACGATTCATCTAAGATCTTCAAAGTGTTCCCAAGTTACTGCTCTACAAAATGAAGAGAAATACCAACTGTATATGAACAAAGATCTTTCAGAATCTCAGTCGAATGAACTCTATTCCCTGTAAACACTTTTGTCTCAGTTGGATGTAACAAGTTCCTTTTTTAAGACTAAAACTGGTAACACGCCACAGCACTGTATCAGACTGTTTCGTCTGCTGCATTAAAGGACTTAAATTACATCAGTTTGCATTCTTCTGATCTCCGCCATGCAAACAGAGACAGTATGGACCTTCAGCCAGCCTTCTTTGTTACCTGAGTGAAACAAAATATATAGATGAAGTTTTACAAACCTTGCTGTGCATTTGATTTTAATGGTACAATTCCGAGTTTCTCCAGCTACCTTCTTACCTCCACTGTGGTGCGAATATTATTCATGTTTCATGTTAAATATTTTCTAGTTCCTTCAGAGAAGTAGCCTTTCTCTTCCATGTAGTTAATGTGCTGAGCTGCAGTTTAAAAGAAGCAGATATCTTTATTTATTTATTTATTTTACTAAGATTGAAACAACAGTGCAGCTTCAATACAGAAAATGTCATCCAGGAGAAAAGCTGAGATAAAAGGGAATTTAGGGTAAATAGCAGAATTCACAATGCATTCTGTCGGTAATTAATTCTTGCATCTTATTTCAGATGCCAAAGACTTCCAAATGATAGAAGAATAGGTAGCAGGAGCACTTGGAAGGTATTTACAGAGAAAACGCACATGTTAAAACTGCAAACATTATTCTGTATTTGTAATTTTTTTTTTTTTTCTCTCCATCGAATCACTATTATTAATAAGCTATGATTTATTGTCTTTCAGCTAAGGACTGAAAATTTTAGTAGTTTAGCTCACTACTACCATCATTGTCCTTCTAATCAATATGCTGCTTGAGCTACGCTGTGCAATAATGTAACACTGAATAAGTCATCCTTGTGAATCTGAGAACCCTCAGTTCGCCTTGGTTCTGTTCTCCCTGGCAACTTTCAGGAGTCCTCCCCTGCCTTGCCTCTGGCTGCTTGCTCTTCAGAAATGTTCAGTCAGAGTTTAGTGGGACATCAAGATAGTGGACTGAAGCAGCACTGACTGGAATCAGACACACTTCCATGAACGCTCTCCAGGAGACGGGTCGGAATCAGCACGTTTGCTCTTTGTCATCACTGCAGTAGGCTACACCAAGCTAATAAAGCTCGTAAGCAAGAGCTGCAACGGCTCCTTCAAGAAAATATTCTGAATATAGAAATTGTGATCCACCTTCATTGCCACACTTTGAACCGCGAGCTTAATTCGCACCCACTTTGTTCTCATGAACAGATCTGTGCTGTCAGGTCATCGTGCTGTCACAAAGTGGCATTTAATCAAATACGCACCAGTTTGCTGATGACACATTCAAGACACAAGACTGCTGTTCAAATTACAGTGGTAATGCTGCACACATATGTGATCACCTCTGCCTCAGGAATAACACCAAGTGAGCTCTTTTCTCACATTCAGTGGGATTTTTGTATGCGCTTCGATGGCGCTTTTTCTTACGGCTTTGTACCTTTTGTGATGCTGTAGCTGCCCTCTGTTCTGCCCGGCTCAGTCTCATCTGAAGCCTATTGATATGTTTCTGATATTCCGTCATTAATTTTTCATCCTGTGTAAATGAAGCATCTTGTTACAAATATGAAGTTCTCTTCTCTGGATCCATGCGTAGTGTAGTGAAGAGCTTAAAGCAAGAGGACCTTAAAAAGCAGAGCTGTTTACCACCTACAGTAAGACTGAAAGCACAGTGCTGACACATTATGAAGAACTTCCAGCTCTAATATGAATCATATGACTTCCCCAGTCAGAGTCATCTTCAGCTGAAGTTTCACCTTCCTGAAGAAAGATGCGTAAATGACAATATTTTAATGCAGGTAATTTAACTTACACAACAGTGCAGTACAAATATTGTAGCTACATTCAAAGGGGAGAAGAGTGTAGTAGATAACAATCATATAATTTTGTTACAGATAGCTTCGCCTCACCACATGCCAAGTATGAAGTCTTCACTATTCTTTAGCATTAGTTTCTGAAACCTGTTCTCACATCATCCCGGTTTTTCTCCCGCAAACAACAGAGCGCTACAAAAAACAATGCAAGGATTTCTCCTGTACAGAATTGGTTATCATCCCAGATTTATGAGGCAGGCTGGACGCACAGCTGTTTTCTGAAGTGACCGTTAATTGTTGAACAATGCATATTCCAAAACAGCAATGTTCTTAATTTTTAATAGGTATTGCTTTTATCCATATACTGGGATGTGCACATGCAGTGTCAACTCTACTGTGTATGCTGAAAAACTCATCTCTACCTGTGCCACATTATCCATAGCACAACACCTCCTCCTTTTTAAAGGTATGCACGTGTACGAAGGCATGTTTTTGCAAACATTTCTAAACTGCCCAAAATTGCCACATTAGTAATCTACTCAGTAATCAGTAATGATCTCCCCTTTGCCTTCTCCAATAATTTGACAGCAAAATTAATGCCTTTTTGCTATTTGAATGACAGCCATCAAAAGCAATTGTGTTATCCTGCTATGTCTTCTCCTCTGTCAAATATCCTTCTTTATAAAAAGTTTTGTTGTTTGTTTGTTTTTTTTTGTTTTGTTTGTTTGTTTGTTTTTAAATCAGAAACATACTCAATGGGCTTCTGTTAGCACCCTAGTGTATTTGCTTCAGGTTGTAACTGAAAGCAATTGTCCTATCATTCTTACCTCAATTACTTCATTGTTTGCCAGTTCCAGCTGAGCAATGAGTTCCTGATTACAAAGTTTTTGTTGACTCAGATAACTCCTATTAATCAGAAGAAAATGGATAATAAAACATCTAAAAAAACCAAAAAGAAACCAAAGACCAAAACCCTTTTAACCTTATTATTTCATATACATTTGTCTGAAAACTGCTATATAGAACTCGAAATGCCTGTTAATATAAGGCTGCAGTACATCTCACTGGTGCTTTCCATTCCCTTGTTCTCTTTAACCAATCCATAGAGTAGATACCATTTAAAAACAAAACAAAACAAAAAAAACCCCAATACAGTTCAACGTCTCTTGACTAACTGCTATAAAAATGAAGATACATAGGCAGTGTTTGGAATATGAGCCAGTTACCTGGCAACCAGCACAAATAAAGGTACAAGTCTGTATCATATTAGAGTTAGGTGACTGCCCTGAGCACATTTGTACCCTCATAAACTTTTGAGCAAATGCTCAAAAAGAACACAACATGTGCCTCTACAAACATTTTTTTCAACTTCTAAAACTAGAAGTTTATTTTATGCTTACTTTCATAAAGACTGTTCTGAATAATTATGAAGACAGCAGTCTTCATGATACAAAGCTATGTTTTTCTAAACTGAGAGTGTTTTTCTGAAAGAAAAAAAAAAAGGAAAGATATTCCAATTTACTTTTTGTTGTAACAAGACTCACACATGTTAACAAGATGCAAAATTTTAATGCCAGTTGTTAGCTGCTAGCTTCATTATGAGTCACGTCAGAGGGTTCTCAAGAGAACATTGCTTCTTATTTGCTGGAAGCGCATGATCTATTCCATGGCCTGCTCTCCTTCCTTTTCTACTAGTACACCCTTGCTCCAAACAGCAACTGATACAGTAACAGCAGCCAGAAGAGCAACAAAATTGCACTTACTTTAACTTACTGATCCTAGCTTCTGTAGTTTCAGTAAGCACTTTTGTTTCCTCTTTCCATCTATTTGTTGCTTTTTGCTGAGCTGTCAACAGAAGTCTAAGCTCAGCAGTTGACTTCTGACTGATGTCTTCCATTTCCTTAAGACGAACTTCGTATCCACGTTCTCTCACAGCATGCTCGTGCTCCATACTGCTTATCTACATTAAAAAATACAAACAGGATACAATCAAGTCTTTTTTTTTTTTTTTGGACACTTAAACTACATTCATAATCATTTGTGGAAAGCACGTAACGTGTAATAAACTTGTAATTATATGCTCAAATGGACACATAATCCCAAAGACATGGTGAGCAAATTGTGCAATGGCAATAGAAAATAATCTTTATCACTTCTGGCTTTTCCCTACAGAAACACATTCTTCTTTTTCACCCAGTCAAAATCCGTCAGGACTTTCTTGATCGCATCTTAAACACATCAGAGGAAAATGGAGGCAAGCCACAGCTCTCATCTGTGACTGATGGTATCCTGTCTGAGTAAGGGCATGCGGAATTCTGGTACGTGCTTTTGAACGGCTACCTATTTGTTAAGCTTGAATGAAAGGTTCTACGGTTGGAACGAGATTTCTTGCTTAATATGACTTCTTTTGTCTTGATGTATAGAGAGCTGGCTGGATGAGCTGCTCCTCATTCATAATCAGTAGCACTGCTTCTGAAATCTTCTTTGCTGGACACATTTAGAAAGCACACCAAGGACCAAAGCTATTATTCCTCTCAGAAGGCAAAGGTGCGTGAATCTGATAAAGTTACCTACTATTCCATTATCCCACAATGCAGTCTGCTCAGGTGCATTTAAGAGAACCCTTCACAAAGAAGATCCATCTTTCAGCTAAATGTCTTTGTTTGCAACTATTGGCACTGAAAAACATTCTTTTCCAGAACGCACAGCAGCAGTGTTTGACAACCACACTACTGCATTATTTGTTAGCCACACGCTGCTCTGATAATGCAGTGGACACTTAAGTAGAGGAACACTGTACTGAAAGTTGTGCAGAGATTCCTAATACAGGCAGTAGATTAATGGAGATCTAGAATTAGACTAAGTGAGATCAGTTGGAGAAATTTTTTTTACCATATGGACTACTCCTCCTGTGAATTAAGATAGAACACTTGGGATCTTCTAATCAAGCACAGTCAGCAGAGACTGAGCTACTAAATAAATCTTGAAGACACACAACGCTGAAACGAAACTATTTACAAAAGAAAAAAAAGCACGCATCATTCAAACTTTCACCTTCAATTTATATTTCCAAATATTTTTTCCTAGAAATGCTGTCTTATTAAGCAAACATCAGCCTTAAAAAACAGCATATAAACCTGTAGCAGAAACTTTAAGACACAGCTTGAACCAGTGATTGAGCACCTGGTGGGAAAGCAGGGCCAACCCTGGGCAGCTCAGGTGCATGCAATGTACATTTTTTTCTTTTAGTTCTTTGTGTATAGCTACTGCATTTGAGCATATCCTCATTTGCTGTAGCCTAGGACTTGCCCACCCTGCTATCACTGCTGTACTTCTCATTGCATTAGAGTGTTACATGAAAGCAACCCAACACTCTATCCATCTCAGGAAAACAGCACTGTAAAAGAGCAGCTTTTCATTTTAATAACAATTCCAGATTCCTAAGTGATTGCTCTGTACAATAGATAGGGTTTACAATCTGAATACATAAATAGCATAAGCACCTAAAGAAAAAACAAACAAAAAACCAAAAAAATCCCACAAAACCAAAAAACAAAAACACCCCAGGCTTTTCATCCTGAGAATAACCTGATCTAAAGATGTGCATCACGTTGCACTTTTTACCATTATACTACTGAAACTGCAATAACATCTGTTACCTCTGGACACAGACCTGAAATTCAGTATGCTATGTAACGTGGACTAATATGTATATACTAGGAGATACCACACTGTAGATGACTTTACAGAGTAGTAATTTCTGCATGAGTATTTCAGTGAGTAACCTTTCCTGTGAACAGCATTTAGACATATGGCAAGATTTCAAACAATGTAGTTTATAAAACAATGAAAATTTGAATAGCTGCTTGCAATTCTCATTCTGTAAAGAAAAGCTTTCATTCTGTGGTCTGCTGTCCCCCTTTTATACTTCTACAGTGAGTTATAGTGCACTACTTACTTCATTTCCAGCAGTTTCAGTTTATGCTGTGCTGTCTGCAGACTCAGCTGAAGGTCACATTTGGTAGTCTCTGCAAGTAGATATTTCTGATGCCGTTGCTCTAGTTTTCTATTGTCAGATTTATGTCCTCCGTATTCTCTGCATATCTGAAGAGCAGAATTTCATGCCAGATCATCTTTAATCATTACTACTGTGTCAGTAACCAGAGAAAGGTAAAGAGGCTACTCCTCACTGTGTCCTAGTTCCAGGGATTTAAAACAAAACTGACTATAGCTGAATTTCAGTGCTGCTTCTAAAAAGGTATTCCAAGATCTTGCATTCATTTAGTTTTCAGCATGCTGTGCTGAAGTTTGATTTGGAACATGCACCAGTGTGCTTTTAGATCGTGTCCAACATCTCCTTTTACTTTTTACACTTCCCAAAGAATGCTCTTTTTCAGTTTACTATTAAAACTTTAATTTCCCAGATTAAAACTTAAAGTACTGACATGCACATTAAATGTTCTGAAAGTCAACTCAATAAATAAGGAAACTAAATATCACACAGAACCACAGAATGGCCAGGGTTGGAAGGGACCTCAAGGATCATCAATCACCAATCCCCAGGATCATAGTGTAATCCTTCTTTCTAGTGTTAGAGAAAAACATGGGAGGTGAGAATAAAATAAGATGAAGACTTTTTCATACTGAGGATAGACCTTAAACACGATGTAAAGAGCACACATTGCCTTACCTTCTCAAGGTCTTCTTCCACTGCTCGCTTTTCTCTAATGGCTCGCTCTATTTGACCCTGCTTTTCACCACGTTCCTATTTCAAAAAGTCATTCAGACAAACCTCTCAACCATATTATATATACATAAATAACTCACGATAAAAGTTCCACACACTGTTACCATCTACTTTCAATGCTTGTTGTCCCTTCTGCAAACCAAGCTGTACAAAACAGATGTGAAGACACTCTATACTGGAAATTGTTACACAGCAGTAATAAGCTGTCTGCAAACAGGCATCTGTGAAGACCTGGTACAGATCCAGAGCTGTTGTGGAATCTATTGGAGCTATATGAGGCCCTATAGTAGATCCTACAGGACCTACACAGGTGCATTAAAGCCTAGCTCGCTCCCCTTCCCCTGACAGCACAAGAGACCCAGGATAGGATCTAGCTCACTAGTTACATATTTGCAGAGAACTAAAAACAGTATCAGTTCTATTCCATACATCTGCTTATTTGCCCTCATTTCTTTGCCTTAGCCTTATGGCAAATCCAGACAGGTAGAAGACATCAGAATCGCCAGCTGTACGAAAGTTGCAACTCACATCCTTGTATCTTCTAAGTGTGCCTGAAACACCAGGGCTACACAGTATCGGTGCCTGTTAGCACACCGTGTGTGCAGGAAACTGTTAGACTGCTGGGGCTGGAATGAAAGTTTCTTGTGCAGTCAGAAATATTTCTACCGGCCATAATACAAATTTAGACACAATTCCTTCCAGAAATCACTGTAAACAAAGCAATTCTAGTTAAACCCCTCAAAGGGGCCCAAGATGAAAGTATCCCAAGCCTACTGTGATTGACCCATGTACACACATAAAAGCATTTTAAAATCGCAAAAGAAAAACACTGTGATTGCTTATTTGCAACTAATCACCAGTAACTTCTATTTAACAATAAAGAGAAACACAAGTTTAAAGAAAGTATATCAAACCTCTTCGTCTAAAACTAAGAACATCTCTTCATCAAACTGTTAATAATATTATGTAGGATTTTACTTGACTTACTTTTACATTTAATTAAATAGTTAATTGGATAAACAGAAGTCTCAAACGTTTTGCTACTGCAAACATACTGAAGAAAGTGAAAGGAGGCAAAATCAATTACACCTCTGAAAAATTACAAGCTAGGTAATTGGTTTACAGCATTTTCTACTTGCAACACAAGACACTGGCTTCACATTTATATAAGAAGACTTCCTCTGGAGTGTGCCTTAAAATAAAACAAGTATATTTGACACGTGGATAACTGTTAAGAATCTCCAGGGAGATATGATTAGCTTTATTTTAACTGCAGATGGGACATAACAGAGAGCAAATTCATTTGTCAATAGTTTGTTATCAAGGAGCTCCTAATTTTCAGCCACTTGTGAGAATAATGAATGTTACAAAAACAGATAACTATAAAATTTTGTAGCTTCTCTACCAAATTCTGATTTTTTTTTTTTAAGTGTGCTGTGATACTGCATTTATTTGTAATTAGCTGTACTTCATGGAAGAGCCTTATTTGTGCAAATAGGGATGTATTTTGAAGCACTGAGATGACAAAAAACTGATCTTATAGCTCAACAATTCTTATCACCTGAACGTATACAAAAAGCATCACTAAGTTCCAAGATGAGACCACATGCTACTGAACAGAATTTCTGAAATAAGTGCCACATCTTCACCTTCTCTACAGCAGCATCTGCACAGACAGCAGTGCTTCTGGTTCATGAGAGATGTCTGAATATCATTTGGGTTGGCAGAGTACATATCTAGATGATAAGGCCAAAGAGCATAATGCTGTCAGTGTACTGCCCTACCTACTTACATTATCAAAACACAAGAAAACTACTGATGTGAACACGCATCGTATATAATGATGTAACTTTTAACTCTAAGTTCATAGCTGGTTTTTTTCTAAACATTGTCACTTACTGCCTTTCTAATTCTTGCAGCAGTATCTTCTATGAGCAGAAATATTTCATCTTTCATCTTCTTTGTTTCCTCTTCCTTTTGTTTCTTTTTAAACAGTGCTTAAAAAATAAGAACAGAAATATTACTGATAATACTTCAGTTGTGACATCCTACCTAGCAGCAAGGAAAGAAACCACACGTAAGAGGTGTTCAGAAGAACTTTCTGCCTTGTGCTTTAGAGCAGCTGACACCAAGACCATACAGAAAAGCAAGAACAGAAACGACATAAAGATCTCTGTTAAGCATTAGAGTACACACAAAGAAGCACACACACTTTCCTAGATAAAGCTGAACACTCTTTTTGTTTTTAAACAACCAATAGACTAAGTCTAAGCCAATTATTCCCCCTCCCCCCCAAAAAAGTAAAAATTCATAAGCAGCTAAGAAATGCATATATAAACTATTCCAAAAAGGAAAACAGAGAACCAAAACCAACTCTTCAGTATGCCAAGATGGTGGGAATTTATGTGGGAATCACACCCTCAACTCTGATTGACCACCTGTGGCAAGCAATGAGTCAGCCCTGGGAGCACAGGTGGAGGTAATGGAGCCTGGCTCCACCTCTCCTAGATCCTATTTAAGTGCTGACTGCCACTGAGGAAGCATTTCTTTCTAGAGATGCCATCTGTTGGAGAATGTTATGAGCCTACAACATCAGTAAGCATTTTTTACTTATTATTTTTCTGTTATGATAATTTTACTTAGCCTGATACTCTGTATGTCAAGTCATTTTATAGCTGTTTACACTTACTAATTGTACAAAGTTATAGAATACAATTGTAGTAAGGAATCCTTCTAGGATCCATACAGGATTCCAGAGGATGAAGGAAAGGTATTGCTGTTAAATGAGAGATGCTGGTCTAGAAAAATTAAAAAATCACAGAGCTCATGGTAGAAGTGATGAAAAATCCTAGGTAGCATAGAGAACATATATGATGTAGATGGGTGAAAGAAGAAATGTGTGGGAAAGGTCACTAGAAGATCTGAATCCAGTCTGTAGAAGGTTCTCCGGTCATGACATGGCACTTCATGTGTCACATTCTCTTCAACTGCTCCCATTCAGTTTGTGTTGTGTTTCTCAAAGTACTCTTAGAATTCTTCTGATCTCATTTTGTAAGCTTAGCTTAGGTGCTTCACAATGTTAGCATGAAAAAAGGAGCATTATTGTGACAACCTGTTAGTTCCTCATATAATCATTTAGAGACCAGAAAGGCCACAGTTTAGTTAACTAACTGCATGTATTAGGCTGTGTTATTTATTAGTTCATAAAATGCCCACTTTGCAAAATGAAGGATGTTTTAGCTAGAGCAATAAATTAGCAAGTGCCGGCAAATTCAGAATTTTCCTCCTTGAGCGTAACACTAAATTGTTGTTTGTAATGAGACTGTTATTTATCTTAATTATCTTAAAGAAAATAAATAATTCACTAAATTAATAAATAAATGTTCACTAACCGCCTCAGAGACCTTGTTTACACCATAATTTTTATCTGGCCACTTTTCTCTGTCAAAAATGGTATGAAGAGCACTGTTCTGATGTTCTAACACGTAGCTAACTGTGAATGAGATTTATACATGTTACCAATGCTTTTCAAATGAAAGTTTTTCTTGCTTTTAAATTCTGGGAAAAAATAATATATATTTTACCTTGTATCCCTCATACACAGGCTTTAGGGAAATGCTTGTAAATGTAGAAATATCTTACTAGGAAAAAGGACCTAACAAGTTCAAAGGTAGCCAGCAAGAGCAGGCAGACTGAAAACATAATTTCTAATTTCCTTTTTGAACATAGCCTAATAAGTGAAGGGAATTGCTGGAGGTAAGAGCATAAAGCAAATGAGAGGCAGAAGTCTGAGAACAAATACGGAAGAGAAGTAGCATGCCTGAGAGTATCATAAATCTGTAAATGTCTAAGAAGGATGTCTGTAACAGACAATAATCCTCTTTTGTGTAACAAGAAGAATCACACAAATTACACGGCAGTGCGTTAACAAGAACCCCAGAGTTCTGTCAACATTTTGATCCCTTCCACAAACAGATCAACAGGTAGCAGGGACTCTTTAAAGTTTCAGTCCCTCCTTCCAGACAGGGTTGTCCTCCTTTGTCACAGAAATGAAATCAGCAAGAGCAAAGAAGACAATGCTAACTCTTGTATTGCAAAGGGATGAAGTCACTTTAGATTAGAAGACCGTTCCTCACATTTGAAAAGCAACTTCAGGCTAAAAGAGAACATTTATCTCCTGAACTCTCAACTAGCTAGCCTGAGCAGAATGAATACTGATTACTTATTTTTTCCTACGTGCATTAAATAATCTAGACTTAATTTACTGTTGGCTGAAGTCTGTTAGTCACATTGAAGCTCAGTCTTTCCAGCAAGCAGAACTCATCAGATTACTGGAAGCCTGATTACAGCTAAAGCTTATCATGGAAACACCAAAGTGCCCGCATTAGACACAAGTGTATCAGTCCCTGCACTCTGTCTCCTGTAGGGGCAAAGAGTAGATCTTTGGAAAAATGAAGAACTGGAAAAAAGGGAGACTTTTTTGGTGTGTGTGTGAATTGATACCTTTCAAACCCGCTGGATTAGATCCTGCCTTCAGGAAGTTTTGGTGGATTCTTCCATTTTTATTTGACTGCTTTTGTATCTACGCTTTTGGCATAAGCATTATCCCATAACTGTTCAATCAAATATTGTTTAAAACATTTTATTACAGTTTCTTCTATGTGCCTTGTTGACTCCTGCAGTTTTCTAGCTCTCCTGTCTCACATGAAACGTGCCAATCAAAACTGCACATTAAGGTACACTGTGTTTAAAGGTTTTTTTTATATATCCCTATTAATTTTATTAATTAAACACTACTAATTTTATTAAATACCACTGAGAATCTTATGATGTATTCATAGGCCCGTTTTATTACTGTAAAACAGTAAGTTCAGCAGCCAGTACAGCACATTTGAATTCTATCTCCCATCCAGCACACACGCTCAAATCCTCTGGAGGGTTTTTTTTTTTCCAGACTACAGATTTTGCTGACTCATTGCACAACCACTTCTTCAGATTTCTTTAGGATAACGAAAAGTTGAACACAAAGCTCACCCTGTTGGACCTGTATTACCATGTAAAGAAGTAAGTCTGTCTACTTTCAACTTTCCTTTCCTCACCACGACTAGGTCATAAATTCATAATAGGGCCTTGGTTTTTATTCTGACAGCCCAATTTGTTTTTAAATATTCACTAAGATTTATACTGTATGGCAAAACTAAAT